CAGGCAGTCGCCAGTACGGCTCTGGGCGGCGCCTGGCTGCAGCCGCTGCAACCGGAGGCCGGCGAGGGCCCGCCGCTCGAAAGCATCCTGGCAGGCGGAAAAAGGCGTGAGGAAAAAAAAGTTCTTTGCGGTAGGCTGTCGCCCTGGCTTTGGGCTTGTGCACCGGGACGGCGCTGCGACACCGGATTGCAGAAGTATTATAGAGCGCAACGCATCTAGACTTTTGAGTTTGCTGCCCGTTTCCCACTGCAGCTCGAATGTCACTGTTGGGCTTCAGTAGAACCCTTCCAAACCGCCACCGCTGTGCGAAAGCACGCAGCTCTGAGATAACACGATGCAGAGATCCTTGCAGTCGCTCACTGCTGCTTGGAAACCAACCTCTTATCCCACGGCACGTGGACATGCGCTCCTGCAGCTCGCGGCCTGCAGGGCCAACAAAAATTGGAGTTAGGTAGGGTTACACAAGATTTGAACAATCGGCCCCGCGAACCAAGCTGCTGACGAGTAGGCTGCTCACGGGCCTCTTCTTGTGCGTCCCGAAAGCGCATGATGCCTCCATTGCCCGAGCCCGCCGGCTCCAGTTCTGGTTTTACACTACCCAACCAATGGGACCAAGTAACTAGCGGTCATTACCGGTCCGTGCTGCGGTCCCTGTTAGGGCCGTAAACGGCTCTGGGTAGGGGGGGGTCGAGGTGGAGCAAATGGGCATGGCTGGTCTGGGACTCCAAGGGCCGTGTTCGCGAGTGCTCACAGTACCGTGCACTTTGCGGCCAACAATGGAAGGAAAGCGCATCGCACTCCCGACTCCCGGCCACAGCACATTGCTTGTATCGCTCGGTCCCAGTGCTCCTGCGGACTACCTTGCTGCTTCAAGGCAACAACGGCAACATTCGCAAGCCCTTGGCGATTTTCGAACCGACCCAGGGTCAACGGTGAAAGTTAACAGTTATGCTGAAAAGAAGCAAACAAATAAGCGGGCCCATCCAGCAACCAAGACCTGGTGCAAAATTGGTAGTTCGCTGGGAGCACTTGGTTCAAAGTTGGGAATCAGGTTGAGTTTATACAGCGAAGGCGCGTTGGGTGGCGACATGTCTGGATTCTGGATGAAGGATGCTGTTTTCTGGTTAAACGCCCGCTTGTTTCGATGCCGAACGACGAGTCGGCAGCGCGAAAAAGCCCAGGACACTTTTGCCGCGCAGACATAAGACGATGCCCGACATGAGTGCAGCCGGCTGCCTCCTTGGCTTTGGGCTTCCTGCACAGGGTCTGCAGGGTCGACGGCGAGGCCGCACGGCCCTCTACATTGCCTCTGCATGCGTGATGTGCATCAAATGGCAACGCAGCGGGTGGTCAAAGGGGAGGAAGAAATCCAAATCGCGCGGTTTTCGGCGGCTGCGTTTGGCCGTGGTTGTTCTTTCCCTGCGCCTTTGTACGCCGGCGGCGCCTCTGCGCATGCCTGGTCGGGAGGTATGTTGCCTGAAGGTGCCAGTGCGCTGGAGCTACCAAACTGCAGAGTTTGGCAGACTGTTTGTTTGCTGCCGTGCCCAAACCGTGGTTGATAGGCGCAAGAGCGAAGCCGTCGGCCCCGAAGGCCCCCCAACATTGGCTTGTCAACACCGCTGCGCCGGGCATCGTGCCTGACGACCGCAGGCGCCTGGCGGTATAGTGGACACTCACAACAAGTTCAGGGACTACGTGCAGATTACAACTTGAGCCTTGTGCCGCCGCCGACCACTGCCGTTTGGCAACGAAGCAGCTCCCAGCAGCTCTTCCCAACCGGCCAAAAACCAAAAATCACCACTTTGCAAGCGCTCTTCTGCCACAGAGTCCTTCTCTCATTCCTTCAAGCTCGCAGCACCATGAGCATGCACGCGGTGTGCAGTTGATGCTCGCACGTGTTAACCGGGCTCATCTTCAGCACGAATCGATCGGCATTCGTTTTCTCCGCGACTGTGTCGATCTTTGTGATTGTGTCGGACACCACGCTTTGCGGTGGTACTTGAATCAGTATGATCATGGAAGCGTCTCGCTGTGTCCGTCCGCCACCCTTGTTCCGTAGCAAATCCACGGTGCTAAGAAATGTGTGAGTGTGATGCTTCTGGCAGCACGGACGGCAACTTGTGCACAGCAACCAACACACGCATGCTCTGCTGACATCTGGGCGCATCTAAGCTCCAACTCGTTGTTGGTTGCATGATTTTCCCAATGATGGCGGTGTTTGATTCATGAGCTTTATTGTTGGTTGTTCACCTGTCCCAGCAGCAATAATATCGACGCACGCTTGTTCCAAGGTGTAGCTTGCGTTGCGGCTGTTTCTTGGACTACACTTAGCATGACGTGCTGGTTTGGGTTGGTTTTGTCTAGAAAACAGGAACTCAAGCAACATAAGATTTAATCGCCGAAGGCCGCAAAAAGATCTCTCCGAAAGTCTGCGCGACAAGCGGCATCGAGCCCTTTTGAATACCACTTGGCCATTCATGCGAAGCTGGACCTGCCCAGCCAATCCGCCTTCTGCTTACTTGCTCAGTTGTTTGAGTTTCGTGATGTGAAGTGACAGTTGCAATAAGCATGTGCAGCAACTCGGAGCTTGAGGAGTGGACGCTGGTCAAGCTGCACAAAGCAGCTGATCTAGTGCAGCTCAAGCAGGCGACATCCCAAGCTCTAGGATTGGAGGACTCGCAAAGCCTGCAATTCTACATTGTGGCACGGGACGGTGCAGGCCGATGTGCACGACTGGGACTGCTCACCCAGACGTCATCCCTTCAAGCTATGCAGCTGACGTTGCCGAGTGATGTTTTGCAGGTGGTCGAATTGATTTGTACCACCAGCGACCCGCCGGCTGTGTCGGAGGTACCAACTGCAGCGGCGCCATTCCCACTGCCCGGCCCGTGCTTGCCTTTGATGGGAACCACTTACCAGGTACTGGGACCAGATCCTATGCCAATGTACAATCTATCCAGGAACGTTTTCCCTCCGAGGGCTTCGAAATTTCCTTATGGGTCTACTGTTGGGTCATACAACGGCGGACGGAAGGAGGCAATCGGTGACTTCCCACCTAACACCATCTTCCACGATGATGCTCACACCGTGACGATCTTGACTGCCAGCGCAAGCATTGTTGAGGAGCTCATTGCTCGCGCGCCAGACTTCCCTAAGTTGTGGAACAGGCGAGCACAGATTGGATTGCAAGACTTCACCGAGAACGGTTTGTTCACAAGCAGTGAAACCTCGGAGGATTGGAAGGCGGCCCATAGTCTTCTCCCAAGAGGTTTCAACCAAATCAAAATCAAGAATTTTGCGCCGCAGATCTTGGCAAAGACCCGTGCCTTCATTCGCGAATGGTCGCATTTCCGTGCTGGCCAGCGTGTGGAGGGTGTCAATGATTGGCTGACCGCCATGACGGCAGATGCGGTCGTCACCTGCAGCATGGGTTTTGACATGCGCAATGTAGAGCGGCTCGGGGCCAAACAGCCCCCGCATAAGTTCGTAGATAACTTCAGAATTGGCCTGGGCGTGTCAACCGGAAGCATCAACGCTTCCTCAGAATATGGATGGAAGCGGCACCTGCCTTTCTTCAATGCAGCCGGCAAATTGCAGGCAAAATACAAGCTTGCAAAATCGAACATGCAAGAGCAAGTGGAACAGATGGTTGAAGCAACCCGCGAAGGTGAAATGGGGGGACAGAACTCGATCATCAGGGCCATGCTCGAGGACCGCACTGGCGATGGCAGACACATCCGCTATGGTGCGCTCTATGGCCATGTGGTGAACTTGATGATTGCAGGCCATGAGACGACAGCTGCAACCCTTGGATTCACCATGCAACTATTGGCACAGCACCCCGAATATGAAGCCAGGGCCTTGCAAGAAGTGCGTGAGGTGCTGCAGGGAAAGACGGAACCATCGGTAGACGATGTGCCCAAACTGCAGTTTGTCGAGCAGTGCTTCCGAGAGGCTTTGCGCTTGTACAGTCCTGTGACCAGCTTGACTCGAGACGCTGCGCATGACACCTTGCTGGGAGGCCACCGGGTTTACCAAGGGCAACGCATCGTGGTGGTCACGCGGGCACTCCATACGAATCCGGAATATTGGGGTGGGAAGTTTGGAGATCCTTTATCATTTAATCCTGATCGCTTCTCGCCGGATGCGGTGAAGGACAGACATCCAAATGCTTATCACCCATGGGGCTTCGCAACACGCTCTTGCATTGGAAGCCAGTTTGCCCTCTTTGAGGCCAAAACCTTTCTTGCTTCCATGCTTCTGCACTTCCGTCTCGAGGGCATCCCAGGGTACGAGATTGTGGCTAGCACCCACGCGGGCGGAGCTGCCCCTTCGCCCAAAGACTTGGCTTTCATCGTGTACCCGCGTCCTGGAGGGCCACTTTGGTCGGACACTGGCCTAATGCAGCCGCTTCCCGCATTGGCGCTTTCTACCCCTGAGAGTCCGGAAGCCCAGCCCGGCCAGCCTCAAGGAAGCCTAGAAACTACGAATGGCCACAAAGAGATCGCAGAGGGTCCTGTCATGAAGGTTCTTTATGGATCCAATGCCGGCTCCAGTCAAGAATTCGCTTCTCAGGTGGTGGCAGCAGCGGGCAAGGCTGGATTCCAGGCTTCTTTGGAAACTCTTGATGCTGCAGTTTCCATGGGCTCGATGGTGCCAGATGGGCGAACGGTCATCGTTGTCACATCTACCTATAACGGCCTGCCCCCAGACAATGCATGTCACTTCAAGGAATGGTTGGTGAAGCAGAGAGGCGGTGCCCTGAATGGGCTGCAATTTGCAGTATTCGGGGTTGGAAACTCGCAGTGGCACACTTACCAGCAGTTTCCGCGAGAAGTGGATGCTGGTTTGCATTCCTGCGGGGGTACACGTATTTGCGGCTTGGGAGCTTGTGATGTGGATAGTTCTTCCTTCGATTCCGATTTCGAAGACTGGCTTGCGAATCTACTGCAGAGGATTGGCGGAGCATCTGGTGGAGCCAATGTCGTCTCGGCCGAGGACGACTCTGGAAGGGACGAGTTCATGCTGGAGAATGGCCCCTTAGACAGCGTCACCGTGCAGGCCGATGTGAAGAATGGAGTCGCTGCCATCAACGATGCCATGCAAACTGCGGCCAAGTTGGTTGGCGAGGCAGCCGCGCCTCCAAGCCGAAACGTCGCTCTTGAAGTGCCTCGGCCATGAAGCATAGATAGCACAGAGAATGGGCGTGATGGACGAATCTGTTTTATGATCAGGAATCGTGTATGGTTGAACACAGTCAAATACGGTTGAGCTATGTTGAAATGTTGGTGGTTAGACAGGTCGTTTTACCTAGCCGCGAGCTGTGCAAGAAGCCTGATGCTCGAAGTGTTCGTCATGTGACTCTGCGACTTCCTGAAGATCATCCAGGATATCAGCCGGGGGACCATTTGGAAGTTCTGCCTCCAAATGATCCAGCGTTGGTGCAGATGGTCCTCGACGTGTTGCAACTAAGGGAGGACGCTGCCGTACGTTGGAACCTCAACAGGATGCAGAAGAAATGGCGTAATGTAAATGTGGGGAAAGATGCGGGGTGGTGGGAGAAGCTGCCATCGCTGCATCTAACTGCAGGCTTGGTTCTGCAGTACTTTCCTGATCTTGCAAGCCCGCCTGGACGCAAAGCATGCGCTGCTCTTGCACAGCTTGCAACAAATCCGGCGGCGAGGGACGAGCTCGTCCTGCTTGGAAGTGATGCTGAGCACCACAAACTGAAAGTAGCTTCTGTCGGCCTCTCACTGGCGGAGCTGATTCACGGCTTCAAAGGCAACCTCGAGTGTCAAATTGGGGACATCCTCGTGATCGCCAAGCCGCTTGCACCGCGACGGTACAGCGTGTCTTCAAATCCGGAGAGCTTGCAGGACAAGCGCTTCGTCACAGTCACCGTTGGGCAGGTGAAGTTTACGACCGGTACAGGCCGTGTTCACCGTGGACTTGCATCAACACGTCTTGGAAACATGGAGGTTGGCGATGCCATCCCTGGAAATGTCAAGACGATGCAGTCGAATTTCCACTTGCCTGAAGACCGCGCAGCACCTATCATCATGGTGGGGCCAGGGACTGGCCTGGCACCAATGATGGGCTTCCTGCAGCAGAGAGAAGCCTTGCTGAAGAAGGGCACAAAGGTTGGCCATGCTACGCTTTTCTTCGGCTGCCGTTCCAGGGATGAAGACTATCTGTACCAGGAGGAACTTGAGGGTCGGTACTTGAAGTCTGGTGCCCTCTCGACACTCCACGTTGCGTTCAGCCGGGAATCGGGCCAAAAAGTTTATGTGCAAGACAAGATCTGGGAAGAGAGGGATGCGGTCTGGAGACTTTTGCAAGATCCGAAGTGCACAGTGTTTGTTTGTGGCGATGCCCGTGCGATGGCCCCAGATGTGAAGCGTGCTTTCCAAAAGGTGGTGGAAAGTGGGGGCAATAGCAGCTCTTCCGCAGCCAACATGATTGCTGCGATGGTGCAGTCAGGCAGATATGTGGAAGATGTGTGGGCATAGACGGCACAGTTCCACAGAGTCGATTGCATCGGTGCAATTGGCAATTGGACTCCCACAAAGCCGGTGCTTGCTCGGTTAAGCCTGATGGCATCGATTTTAACGGCTGACAAGTGCAAAGATTTGAAAGCTGTTGCAAACGGATGCAAGGGAAGCTCGCTTGTGTACAGAGATTTGGAGAGCAATAGTCTCGTTTCCAGATGTGCTTCCTGCGTGACGCTTAAAAGGGCCCAGTCCATGGCTTCCCCGAGTGTTGAGCTTCAGCTTCAGGTGGTTTCATGCTAACTAACGCATTGGGGTGGTCAGTGCAGGCGAAGCTTGGAGAACGAGAACGTCAGCCAGAGCCCAGAAACAAGCCCGGCATCGGGCTTCGGGACGCTCCAAGCCTGCGACGCCTTACAGGCAGATGCCACCTTGCATGTGGAGGTGGCAGAGCTGCGGAAGAAGATAACAGCATTGGAAGCAGATCGCTTTGAACCTCCAGAGCTGGAAGAGCTGCAGGTACTGTGCAGTACTCTGGAGTCGCAGAAGCGTGGATTGGAGCAGGAAGTGAAGCGTCTGCAGGGAAGCTCTGCAGAGCTTGAAGCTCGATTGGCTTCGTCTGCCAATGTACAAGATAAAATGCAGAGCCTTGTGGAGGAGAGCAGCGTCTTGGAAGAAGATCTGGCGCTGGAGAGGGCCAAGCATGCCAGGCTGGTGGCAGAGGCGGAAGGAGAGCGAGCCAGAAAGGAAGAGTTACGAAGAAGGGTGTCCGAACTAGAGGACGAGAATGCAGCGCTTCTAAAGATGGCGGGCTCCCAGCAGGCGTGTGCACTTCCTGTGGATTTGTTGAGTTGGGGTATGCGTGAATTTCGTTTTGCAGTATGGTAATTGCACGAGTCAGGCAGGAGTAAGGGTTTGCAAAACACTGTGGGCATGCGCATCAGACAAATTTACATCATTTCTCGCTCACTCATGCAATAGTTCATCATCATGTACGAAATGCGTACAGTACTGAACAGTCAGGCGTCGCAGAACGATGAGCGCAGCAGTCCCACTTTGGGTTTGGATTGTGCATACACACACTTACATACCGTGGCTGTGGCAACTTGTCATGATCAGTTCAAAGGTCTTTTATGGGACGTCATAAAACCAATCATAGTTGACATGGTTTGCGTTTATGATCTTAGGACAGAGCCCAGCACAGCATAGCAGCTTGCACACGTAGTAAGTTGTTTACCATGTAGATGCCTCATTAAGGTGCCTGCTCAACGGATTTTTTATCGATATCCATAATGTAGCGCAACGAATTTAAACGATATTGAATTATTTGCAAATTAATTCACATTTGTCTTTAAATTTTGTAGGCTCAATCTTCTAGTTTGTTTGCGCATGGCGACTCTGTCTATGACTTTAGGTATGAGGGTGAAACAACAGAGGCTTGGGGTATTTGTCCTTTTCTTTGTTCAAATTATCGCATACTTGCTTGGAAGTGGTACCGACGCGGTATGGATTTAACTGCTTTTGAGATTCTGGAATGGGTCAGTTCATCTTTAACAGCGCTTACTAGTTGCGTTGCTCTAGCTTGTATATCCAATGATGGAGCCGCCTCTTGTATGCCTCCAGAATGTGAATTGAGCATGTCAGTTGAGACTGTTGATAAGCCATTTCAGCTTTCGGATACCCCGGAGGATCTACAAATATCTACATGACAAATATTATCTAACCCAGCAAAGTAGCGATTGTACTTACATGAGCTTGGGTCAGCATGTGAGTACTACAGATTCTGCCGCTAGAATAGCTATACTGAAGGCCATTGCTTATAAGCAGATGTGGTCCTCGTGCGTGCCCCGTTGGTGATGGATTTGTAAGGGTTAACAACCTGTGTGTGTGTGTGCGTGTGTGTGTGTGTGTGTTTGTGTCTGTGTGTGTGTGTGCGCGCAATTGTGTTTGTGTATGCACGCGTGTGTGTGAGGCTCTGATGGTCCCTCAATCCCCCCGATCCAGCACCGTGTGGAGGAGAGCAGCGTCTTGGAAGAAGATCTGGCGCTGGAGAGGGCTCGGCTGACGGCGGAGGCGGCAGAAGAGAAGGCCGAGAAGGAAGAGTTGCAAAGGAGGCTGTCTGAACTAGAGGACGAGAATGCAGCGCTTCTGAAGATGATGGGCTCTCAGCAGGTCGGGCATGCAAAGCCGTTAGGAACGTTTTTTGGCAGGGTTTGATCTCAGCGCGAGCCTCGAAGTTGAATTCTGAAAACCTCACTGGTTCCTCGTCCGAACGCAAGTTTGTAGGTTGCATGTCAACGCCCACAGACTCACTAAAGTTTCACTTAGTCACTAAAGGAAAGGCAGCCTTGAGCCACACTGGCATAGGCCTTCAATGGCTTTCATAAGATTCGTGCATCAGCGACAGCTGGTGCTCTCCATTAGGCTGCCTATCGAACCCATTGGTGGTGCGATGAAAAGGAGGATGTTCATGTCAATCTTGGCACTTGTGATCTCTCCTTGCACACCTGCCGAGCCAAGCCATAAGGGCCAGCATTCCGTCCATGAAAATGGCATGGGTCGTGCTACCATCAGCGGGCGTGCCTGTTCAAGAGTTATCCTAGTCACTGCATCCAGCTTTGGGGAGGTGCTGCATCCTTTTCATCCGTGGCAAACAAAGGTTCTTGTGGAAGGCTAGCCGGCTAGCCACTCCCTCTCCTCGTCCATCTTATTTCTTACTTGTGTAGGCCGTACGCACGGAGTGTTTTCGAGTATAAATTCGTTGCATGGTCGAAACGCACGCTCGTCTCTCCCTTTGCATTGCACGAGGCAGCTGCGCAGAAGGCAAAGTGTGCAACGGAAGAAGCAGCGAAGACGCTGGAGTTGGAGCGCAAGTTGTCGGAGCTTGAGGACGAAAACTCAGCGTTGCTCAAGATGATGGGCTCGCAGCAGGCCGGAACTGCGGGCCTGCTCTTTATTTTCTTTTCTTGCTGGATGCCAGCTCAGGCTGCTGTCCGCCAAGTGGCGGTCCTGACAGTGACTTTGCTGCAGCCTGGTGCGGCACGGAGGGCCGGGAAGGAGCAAGAGAGAGAGGGCCCAAACCCAAACAAGCAGAAGAAGATGAGAGATAGAGCGAGAGAGAGCGAGCATTGTGTAGTGCTGACATGCTGGCCGGGACCCTGGATTCTCATCATGTCACACCACGTTCCCCACTCATGTATGCCTTTTTCTGCAGCGGGTCTGTTACGATTAAGGTCGTGTTCAAGTCTCGTCGCAAGAAACTAGGGGGACTTGCACTCCTTGCCGAAGTTCTGAGGGACCCGAATCAGGTGGTTTTGTTATTCTTGCCATGGGCCAGCTTAGCTTGCTTTCCAAAATGGGGGACCTCACCTCGCCACAGTGAACGACAGCGCACTCCTCGGAAGGTCATGCTTATCTCTATGCCGTGTTTCGTTGTGTAAGCACCGGGGGATGTGATTGAATTCAAAGGTCCCTGGTCAGTTCTTACCTTTGCGTTTTCTTGGTACGTCGGGTCGGCTTCGGTGCGTGAAGGTCTCACAGCCCCTTTAAAGAAACACCCTTGCGGCCAGGACTATGGCAAGGCTGGGATCCGAACACGAGTGGAAGCCCTCGGGTCGGGGTTCTGGCTAACACCCCATTGGCGGCTTTCGACCTTTGGGCTGCCCACAAGTTGAGGTGGCACACGGCCTTCGGAGTGACAAGGGGGGAAGTGAGATCCCTTTGGACGCACCGAACACTGCCCTGCCAGCTCATGGGGGGAACGTGACAGCACATCGGAAAACTATTCCGGCGACCACATCTAGGATGATCCCTCAGCGCCACCACGCACCACCAACCACTTCTACCAGCTCGAATACAAGATCCGTGGCAGGCCTAAGTCCTTGTAACTTGTACTTGAGACCCATACCAATGGGGGGGGGGTCGGGGGCGCCGACGCGCAGCGCACAACCATATATATATATGCTACCCCCCAACTACTCCGTATTCAAACGGATTCAGGGCGTATTCAATTGAATACGATTCAAGATTCAAGATGCAGGGCAGACTTCTCCCGGGCACCTTGAATCTTGAATCCGAGTCCTATTCAATTGAATACGCCCTGAATCCGTTTGAATACCCTGTAGTTGGGTATGGGGCGAGAGTCTTGTACTTAACAAC